CCAGGATGGGGCTGGCCGCCGGCATCCCCTCCGCTGCCCTCCCTCCCTCCCTCTGTGCTGGGCGTCCCTCCCTCCGCGTGGGGCATGCGCTGCCCCAGTGGAAGAGGAGGAGGCCCGGCAGCCGCTTTAGTGGCAAGTAAAGGAGGCGAGGCAGGGCCGGAGGGGGGGGGTGCAGGGGGCATCATGTGGTCCCCCGCGGCCTGGATTGCCCCCCCGCAAGCTCTCTCGCCTCTCTGCCTCTCTCGCCTCGCCTCGCCTCATCGCCTTTTCAAGGCACAGGGGCAACTCCGGCACGCCCGGCCATGGGGAGCCGGCGGCGGTGCTGCTGCTGGTCAGGGCTGTGTGGAGGAGGAGGAGGCTGCTGCTGCTGGGACCCGGCGGCGAAGGCAGGCAGGAGGGAGCGAGCCCCTGGCATGGCAAGGCCAGTGAGGGCAGTGGTGGTGGAAGGAGGGCGCGGGCGTACGGGGACGGACCCCCGTCCAGGTGAGGCAGACTCGGCATTGAACTGCGACCCCTCATCCCCCCGCCCTCTGCCCACTGGTGAACAAACCCGGGGAACAAAACCGCAGCTCCTTTGCCCGCCTGAGTGCAGCATGGGGGTAGCGGAGGCCGTCAATCTCGCCCTTTGTCCCGACCCCCCTTGCCCCCCCTTTGTTCCCCAATCCAATAAGCGCCGCTTCTCAGCCCCTTCCTGGCGGTGCCTTTTAGAGCTAGCCCAGCCGCCACAATGGCACCGTGCACTCCCCATTCAGGGCCTTGGCATCCTCGCCTGGGCCGGACAAGGGGATTACCGCGGCTGCCTGCCTGCTAGAGGGTGGGAGGTGGGACCCACCGGGGTAGTGCAGAGCAGGCCGAGCTCCCCGAAACCAGCCTCCCCCGGAAGGCGGGCAGGCGAGCTCCGGAGGATTACGGTGGCCTCCCCACCCCCAGGAATTAGTGGTTAGGAGCGCGGACTCTAATCTGGGTGATCCTCCTCCCAGCCTGCTTGGTTCCGGCGAAGAGGTCTCCAGGCCCTGCTGGGAGGTTGGCATCTGTGCTCGCCTAGAGCGCAGGCTAACCTCGGGCCGGCCCTGCTGAGAATTATAGAGGGACCCCTAGATATGTTTGATGGATTAAGAGTTTTATATTTCTCTATGTAGAAAGAAACTGTTCGATGGAACTTTTGAGAGTTTAAGCTTTTCTTATACAAATACTGAGAATTACTGAGAGACCCATAGATATGTTTGATGGAATAGGATCCCAGTATCTCTTTATCCAGATTAAATAATTCCCCAGTAAACAGCTCAAGACAATTAACAATATACTCAGAAATATTTAAAATATTTGAGGGAATTCTTGAGGTCTTTCCTCTTCATAATCACTGAGAATTTTAGAGGGATCTCTAAATATGTTTGTTGGCTTAAGAACTTTATATCTCTCTTTTTAGAAAGAATATGTCTGAGGAGACTTCTGAGATTTTGAGCTTTTCTTATATAGCCACTGAGAATCATTGAGGGGCTTCTGGGTGTGTCTGATGGAATGAGACTCCAGTATTTCTTTATTCAGAACAATTAATTGTCCACATTACCAAATAGTATAAGAAATTCAATAGTACACTTAGACAAAGCCCATTTTAGTAGAAAAGAAGAAATTGTATGTTTGCTGACCTGCAAAATATGTTTTATCATATATATTGGAAAAATGAAATAGACTTGGCTTATGTATGAGGCATGATAACAGATAAGAGATTGATATTGTATCGTATCTCTATTTTATGTTTGTTTGGAAAAATAAAAAAGTTTTAAAAAACCAAAAAAACAAGGAAAGGCCAGGTTAAAAATTCTAGGTAAGCCATTTACAAATTACAGTTTCCAATTGCTTTCCTGTGGGGTAGACTGTTAGAGGCCTTTGGTGTCACTGTGCCTGCAGGCTCAAAGGATCTATTTCTGTTCTTTTACAAAGGATGGCTTGAGGAATATAGACCATGGGTAAGGTGCTAAGATGGCATATGGCCTTTCCCCCGTGGGAGTCTGTAGCATCACTGCCCACACCTGTCAGTCATGGAGGGGAAAGTGGACTCTGTCCCCAAAGTGGCAAAGCAGGGAAACCGACAAACCCAATACCTGGGGATCCTGGCTTGTCCCCCTGAAGGCCCCCCCCCCCATGCACAGGACAGAGGAAGCGTGCTCTGAGGAGAGTGCCGGGGCATGTCATAAGAACATAAGAACATAAGAGATGCCAATGTTGGATCAGGCCAAAGGCCCATCCAGTCCAACACTCTGTATCCCACAGTGGCCAGAAATACCAGTGCCATCAGGAGGTCCACCAGTGGGGCCAGGACATTAGAAGCCCTCCCACTGTTGACCCCCCCCCCAAGCACCAAGATGACAGAGCATCACTTGCCCCAGAGTCCCTATCTATACCTTGTGGCTAATAGCCACTGATGGACCTCTGCTCCATATGCTTATCTAATTCCCTTTTGAAGGCGTCCATGCTTGTAGCCGCCACCACTTCCTGTGGCAGTGAATTCCAAGTGTTAATCACTCTTTGGGTGAAGAAGTCCTTCCTTTTATCCGTTCTAACCCGACCGCTCAGCAATTTCATGGAGTGCCCACGGGTTCTTGTATTGTATTGTGTCCAGCCATGGGAACCCTGCAGATACTGGGTTGTAATGCAAATGCATTCCCTTTTGAGAATCATGTTCCTTATTGCCTCCCCATGAAGCCTTTGCATTAATTTTGGCTGCTTTCAAATGCTTCCCTAGGTTTTTATAGTAGAAAAGAGTAAGCGTCCAGGAGCACCTTAAAGACTAACAAAATTTATAGTGAGGGTATGAGCTTTTGGGAGTCCCGGCTCACTTCTTCACTTCCTTGACTTAGATTTTAAGGTTAAGTTAACCTGCGTTTTTGAACTGGAGCTGCAGCAGTAAGGCAAGGAGCTGCACCACTTCTGGGATTTAAGTTTGTAAATAACAATCAATGAACATGAATAGGAGGAAAGGAAGTTACTTGCATTCAGCTAATATTGGGGTCAAAGACTCCATCCTACAGGAGAAGAATGTCAAATGGTACTACAATTTGAAAGAACAAATAGTTAAAGAAGGTAGCCGACTAATAAAATGACTTTTGAACAATTACTGGAGATTCTAGATATCAGGAAAAATTTATAAAATGTTACTGCAATATGACACCAAAATGGAGCAAGTAAAAAACTGCATGACAGAATGGATGCAAAATTTTTGACAAAATATACATGTCAGTGGGAAAATCTCTGGATTAAAGAAATTAAGTTTACCGAATATTAAATATTAAGGGAGAACTGGTATAAGATGTTCTTTAGGTGGCATATTGCCCCTAAAGATAGAGCAAAGGCAAACAAAAGAGTGCTGGAAACGTCAGAATACAGAGAGGGCAACATTCTATCCTATGTAAGAAAGCAAGAAAATATTGGATAGAGAGACATGAAGAAATGCAGAAGATACTAAAATTTAAGTTTGCAATGGACCCGAAAAGTATGCTACTAAACTTACCAAGCAATATTATAAAAATACACAGTGGATTATTTAAGAATAGGGTGACAGTGGCCAGAGTAATATTTGCAGCAAAACAGAAAGCCACAAAATGTCCAGACTTGAAGGAACAGAGGAATAAATTGAATGAACATGTGACAATGGCAAAGTTAACATCTCTTTCATAATAGACCAACTTCAGAATCTCAAGAAAAATGGAAAGGTTTTTTTAACTATGTATGCTGCGGTCAGATGTGCCTTTAGATCCAACATAGCTTCAGATGCCTGATGGACCTAAAGTGCACGATCAGACAGCAAAATGTGGGAAAGATTCCGCAGTTGGCGACACTCTGTGCTGCCCCGCCACAGAAACAAAGTTAAAAGACACCAGGCAAAGTCCAGTCCGAACACTTGCCGATAGGGATGGATTTTCCTTAGTCTGATCGCTCAAGTGTGCACTCAAGTTGTTGGGATGGTCTGCCCATTCCAGCCTGACTCAGTGCGTTTCCCCCCCACTTAGCAGTATGTGCATGACCGCATACTCCATGGGGAGCTCAATTCCTCGTTTATGCGCATGGGGAACAAAACCCACCTATTCGCTTGAAAGTGGCGTCTGATTGGCAGTGATGGGCTGAGCAAAGTGAAGTGTGCTCGTGCTGCTGGGAGTCGAATTCCACTATTCCAGGAAATAGGGGTGCTTGCCCTCTGTGCCAAATGGCACATCTGACCACAGCCATAGCTGAAAATCAAGGAAAAATTTAAATCAAAATAGAGAATGATAGAAAGATTTGGGTAAGACATGTTTCATAATGGAAATGTTATTAGATATGAAGATAGATGGAAAAGATAGAAAAGGTAAAGAGAAGTGAAATATTAAATATAAACTAAATTTAAGCAAGTTCTATATAATGTATATAAATGTATGATTTTTTAAAACATGAATGAATATAGTTTATAATTTATGTCTGCAAATTGAAATAAAAACTTAATATAAAGCAATAGCAGCTAATGAACTTGAATGGGAGGAAAGGAAGTTAATTGCATTCAGCTGATACTGGGGTCAAAAACTCCATCCTGCAGAAGAATGTCTTCGGGTTATTTGTAACATTTTACTGGTGCAGAAAGGTGGCCAAATGAGTAAAGGAAGACCATGTCTTCCCTGGAAGCTCAGTTACAGTTTTCCTGTCTATTGCAGGATTGGTGCTGTAAGGGAGAAAGGCATCTCCCCCCCCCCCCCCCCGCCAGGGAAGCAGGATGCCTAGCAGGATATCTAAAACAAACAAACAAGCAAAGGTTCCCAACTGTTCTTTTCTTGTCGGGAGACGTGGGTACAGAACCTCCAGACTGCAGAACTGTGGAATGATAAGTGTGGAACTGGAGGAATCCACTGAGCTATAAAAAAAAACGAAATGCTTTGTGAAAGCGGAAGCCTCTTAGATCTGTATTGTTTAGTTTTCTGAATGTGGATAATTCACTCTCCCTCTCTCTCTCTCTCTCTGTGTTGCAGATGCAGGGCATTGTATCGTGGATGAGCTACATCAGTATTATTGCTATTCTTGCCTTTGTGGCTCTCTTTGAAATTGGCCCTGGTCCAATCCCGTGGTTCATCGTGTCCGAACTCTTCAGCCAGGGTCCTCGTCCTGCGGCTGTGGCTGTGGCTGGTTGCTCCAACTGGACATCAAACTTCCTGGTGGCCATGCTCTTCCCCTATGCAGCGGTGAGAGCTTCAGAGTTCATCACAAGGGGGGATTAGAATGCAGGACTCCAGCCCCAGTCGGGCTCTCTGGCCACTTCACCGTGCTGGCTCTTGGGGAATCTCTAAACAGTACAGGGTTCTGAACTTAGTGCTTGCTCTTCTGGTTGTGGGGTGTGACAACTTTTGCTTTTGGCTGCATGCCCAGGGCGCAAGGATTCCGGTGAAGTTGTAGCACGTCCAATGTAGCCCTTGCAAGGCACCTCCCAGGAGGAGGAGGGTGTGCGCGTGCTGAAGGCACCTGCCTCTTGACTGCCGTGGAGACAGGGCAGGAAGATGAGCCTGCTGGGTGATTTTTGACCCTGGCAGAAGATGGCCGTCTTAAAGCTTCCAGGCCCGTGACTTTCTTTTTCTGTCTTCCTTGCAGAAATATTGTGGTGATTACGTCTTCATCATCTTCATTGTCTTCCTCGTGTTCTTCTTCTTCTTCACCTTCTTCAAAGTCCCTGAGACCAAAGGCCGGACTTTTGATGACATCTCCAGTGGTTTTGAGAGGCGAGCAGAGGATGGCGTTGTCACAGCAACTGTGGAAAAAGGCCCCGTGATGGAAATGACCAGTATACAGCCTGTGAAAGATGTTGCTGTAGGTATTTAACGTCTGTTCTTGACACTCATACAGGTGGGGAGCTCCATGTCAAGAGAGGCTAAGCCTCTTGCAAAACACCGAAGCGAGTCTGTTGCAGGAACCCCGTTTCCCACCCTGGACGTCATGACGGCAAAGCTAACCCCACCCCCTTTTTCCTGCTACGCGTCTGTGGAGACCTGAGAAGAAGAATAATTCTTGCTCAGTGTTTTGTGTGTGTGTTTTAAAAAGCTACATTTACCTTGAATTGTTACATGGGGTTAACATGTTTGTTGCCTGTATTGGTCAGTTTTGGCTTTGGAGCAAATTACTTTTTCTTAAGTGGGCTAAAGCAACCAAGCAACTCCTCTGCCCTGTCTCTTGCCAGAGTGTTTTCTACTGTGTGACTGTGAGGATGTTGTGTTGCAAGACTGTGGCAATTAATTTAAGTGAAAAAAAGAAGCCATGGCTGTGTTTCCTTTATCCTCAGGAAATGGGACCAATGTGCAAGAGATCTTTTTTCTCCTTTTTGGGGGGACTGGTTGTAAAATTTTATTTGCGTGAGTTTATTTCTGTGTCACTTGGCTTATAAATATTATTTTTTTAACGTAAAAATACCATCCTATGTAAATATTGACCAGGAAAAATGTTTTAAGAGAAATAGCTATTTTACAAAATGCTGCTGTGAATTGAGATGTGTCTGTAAAGGCAGGCCCTGAAACACCAAAGAGAGAAAAGAAAGGGGAAGGAGTCTCCAGAGGGGTGCCAGACCTTAACTGGGTGACTCTGGTCTCCTTGAAGGGGTAGGTTCTGTGCAGAATACAGCCATAGGGCCGCTGTACTGGGCCCACCAAAATACTTGGCACTAAGAATTGCTGGGAAATTGTGATAATGTGTCAGTGTTGGCTGTGTTGACTTGATTCCTCTTCACAAAGAAATGAGACCATTTATTTTAGTCTGTTGGGAAGGGACTGACTTTCCCATTGCTGCTATTGTGTGAAGACTTAAGTGGGAAGGGAAACATGCCTGTCCATCCATCATCACGGGATGGTGGCAGAGAGACTCTTCTGTAGAGAATGCGCTGTGATTTCTCATTCATGGTTTCATCACGGGCGGCCTGCGGGCGGCTAAATTCAAATAAACTGAGCTGAGTGGCCAGAGTGTCAGGCCAGGCTCGGAACCCCCCCCTCTGCCAGGGGAGTTTGATGGGCGAATGAAGAGTGGGGTTGGGGGCACCTGCCCTCCTCTGGTTCGGTAAACCCCGTTCATCTCTTCATTACTCCCTGAAACAGATGTGTTAATTGGGGGGGGGGACTTCACAAAAACCATGGGCACTAAAAACAATAAAACCTCTCCCAGTCTCATTTTCACATCTGTACATGCCCTGGAGGGCATCCCCTTATCATCTAAGTGGAAGGTTGTCTGAAGGCCCCAGCTGACCTGAGCTAATGTCTTGTGAGACTTGCTCAGTTCCCCTTTCCCCCTAATCTTAATGTAGAGAGAGACAGAAGATATTTTTGACAGAGAAGCAAAACTAGTTTTTGAACCTGTATTTTTGCAATTGATTATTTTCATGATGAAATAGTATGGGCAGCTTCACTGTAAGAGAAACAGAACAAAGTTTGAGTCCATGGGCACCTTTAAGACCAACAAAGTTTAATTCTGGGTAGAAGCTAATCAGCTAGGATTCTCGAACACTGGAGAAGCAGGGCATGTTAGAATTCAGACCAAAGTTTCTAAAAAGTTGGCACAAAAAAAGTAGCGTAAACCTTAGCTTGCAGAGGTCTCAGGTATGTGCTAATCAGAATGAACGTAGATTTGAGGCTAGGCTGCAGAAACAAATGAAATAGCGAAAAAATCATCCTTGTTGGAGAGAAAAGTGGGGCATACATGTGATGGAGTGTGGGGGATTCAAGGCATTCCATGGGCAGGGAAACGAATGAGGCCTTGGGATGTCACTAATTAACCTTTCCCCAATCCATACTCCATGATGGAATGGGAAAGAATCTTGAGTCTTGAGAAGGCATTTAACTATACCGTAGACCTGAAGGAATAACAGACTCTCCTTTTTTTTACTGGGAATGGCTACAGTTCTGAGGAAGGAACTAGAAGTCACAAATAGTAAATGTTGGGTGCCCTCAACAAACTGGTTGTTATGTTTTAAACAGACGTAAGGGTCTAGTGTAGATATCAGCATCACAGGCACTGATAGGATCATCCTTTAATACAACTGGAATTGCTGAAATTCATATTTGAATGTGTGGTTTTTTAATCGGTTGGGAGGCTCTAGTAGCTTGGTCACATTTGCTGTCTTGAAGACCTTTTTCTCAAACAAGATGCAAACCTTTGTGAGATCAGATAATCCTTTGCTTTTTCCTCCTTGGGCAGTTTAGGCAGCCTGACAGATCCTCCTCATTTTCCTCCATAGCAGGCTGTTTATTGCATGTGCCAAAAACATCTTCTCAAGATTTTTGGTTTTGTGCTGAAAAATGCACCCGTTTAAGTTCTCTCAAAATCGTTTCATCTTATGCCCAGTCGCCACATCGGGGTCTGTCTTCATTCACAACTTTCATTGTTAATCCTATCAAGTCCTGTAATTCAGGTGCGCTACAGCAGATTTCCTCCAGACCTTTGACGCCTCCCAAGAAGCAAAATCGATTGTGGATGGATGGAACGAACCCCTTTTGGCCAAAGCTTTGGTTTGAAATGTCTGTCATTTTGTTTTTTTACTGCCTGCATTGTAAAAATTTCAGTGGGTTTTATTATTGTCACTGTTACATGTTTTTAAAATAAAAGTCTGGAGGAAAAAAAACGTGTTTATCATATTGCTTTGTAACCCCTCATTTCCTTATCCAAGATGGTGGAGGCCACTGTTATTTCCACTAATCAACAGCTACATGGAAGTATTAAGTTCAAACTAGGTATGCCACAAACTTGTAGTGAAAAGGTTCAAGAGCCGGGATCACTTCGGGAGCTGAGACTCAAGAGGTCTTCTCTTCACTGCCTGAGCTGAAGAACTCTCCAGACAGCTGTGGTTTGATGGTCATTCGGCCATCACAGCTCCCCAGAGTTCAAGTTCCTCTTGAAAACTAAAATGTTTCCTTTCTGCCATGGTGTAGGCATTCCCCAACCACGCAACGGGATTCATCTCTGGGCCCTGTGGGTGTGGCCACATGGCTCCACAACTGATTTAATGGCATTCCCACCTGGTACAGACAGGCACCCCTATCATGCAGATGAGATACTGAAACGCATTGCACTCTGACACCTACTGATGGGGAAATGATACAAATGCTGCAATTGGATAGCACTGCCCTTTGGTTGTCTTTAGCTAGCAACGTTTTGTATTCTCCGAGTTGATGGACCACTGGTCTGATGCAGCAGGGCTCCTCATAGTCTTAAGGAGAGCCCTGCTGGATCTGCAGTAGAATCCGGGTTGAATTGGCCCCACCTGGAGCTCGGTCAATACCCCAGGCCAGGCAGTTGTCGCAGCCCAGAGGGGGTCAGGAACAACAGGGTTGACGTCGTCTTTGGGACGGCTCCCTTCTCAGCCGCGGTCACCGGCGGCATGGTGGTCACTGGTACCGCTGGCAGGGTTGTGGGAGTCGCACCCCCAGTCGTGGTAGGTATCGGTACCTCTTCGTCCTCTCCCTCCTCGGGAATCGGTTTCTCCTCTCCGGCGCTCATCTCGGTTGGGGGGAGAGGCGCGTAGATAGAGAATGAAGGGTTCTTAACAGAATGTCAGAACACACAGCCAACAAGGTAGTACATGCTTATCAGGAAAGGTAATACTTTATTGAAGAGCTATAGATGCATTAACGTAGGCACTGTTAAGAATTATTATGCCATAGGTCATAATAGGATATAGGGTATTCGTATGAAACACACACACACCCGCCCTGGCTCCTCCTAGTCTTAAGGAGAGCCCTGCTGGATCAGACCAGTGGTCCATCTGCTCCAGCATCCTCTCTCACGCAGCGGCCGGACTAGTTGCCCTGGAGAACCATCCAACAGAGCATAGAGGTAAAGGTGCTGGGATTCAGCTGCCTCTGCACATAGAGGCTCCCTTTGCCCATCGTGGTGACTAAGCATTGATGAACCTCTCTTCAATGGATTTGTGTAACCCCTGTTAAAGCCATCTATTGTCATCAGAGTCCCACAGTAGTATAATCACTCACTGAATACAGAATTATTCCCAGTCATCTAGGCAGACTCTGTAGAATCTGTTGCCTGTCAAGTTCATTGGGTGCCCTCAAGTTGCAGTATTTGGGGAGGGGGGGAAAAAGTTGTCCATGCTGTGGGTAATTTTTATCAATCTCTATTATGTTTGCTCCATCATCTCTTAGTTGTTGCAATTATTGACTGGACTGGGGATTGTTATCATCCCTAAGGCGATATTGTTTGTAAATGCCCAGTTGGGTATGCTTTGGGCATATAAACTCTGGTAGGGGAGGCCAGTATAGAGTTGGGGATTCAGTGATTGGAGGACCTGGGAGGTATGGTGGTGGGGCAAGGTATTATAGGTGTCAGCTAGGCCTCTGGCTATGCTAGCTGCCATGGGAGTGAGGGGGTGACTCTGGAATTTTGATTTATGTTTCTGCTGTGTCTTCAGTGTTTCATTTATCTATGTAACCAAAGCTTTTGACCTTGAGTGGCTGGTGTTGTCTTTTTCCTGGGAATTATAGCCTGTTACTTTGGGCTTTTCCTGGCCTCTGATTGGCCCTGAGCCATCAGGGGACCCTCTTGAATAATGTCTACCAGCTTGCTTCACACACTTTATGCCAGTTCTAACACGAAAGGGTTACGATATCTGCATACTCTCAATGTCTCAATAAACTTCTTTGGATGAAAGCTGTTGGGAACTGATTGCTGCAGGAATCAGAATAGGAATGGAAGGAGACAAAGATGCTCAGTCCCCTTCCAACCTTCGCTGCATCGCGTTAGATTGGTAGTGGGGCTAGGAAGTTGTACCCTTTTCCGACACTGGTGTTGTGTAATGCCAGGTCCATTAATAATAAGACCTCTACTCTGCAAAGTTATATTGCAGGCCAAAATCTGACCTGGGTGCAGGAGAGTGAGATGGTCACCCTGACACAACTGGTCCCCCCAGGTTTCTCAGTCCTTCATCAGTCACGAACTAAAGGGCGGGGAGGGGGGAGTGGTGGTGGTTATCCGAGAGTCGTTCTCCTTCAGGGCACTCCCTATCGCTGGCACTGATTGTGTGGGCCTGGTGTGAGATGCTGAGCAGAGTTTGGCTATCTGGCTGGTGTACCAACCACCTAAAGCTGCCGCAGATACCCTGTTTGGGCCTGTTGGAGGTGGTATCAGGCTGGGCGTTGGAACACCCTAGGCTTTTAGTCCTTGCTGATGATGCCAACTCCTCACAGGCCATGGACCTGGTGTAATCCATGGCAGCACTGGGGCTCTCCCAGTTTGTATCTTCTCCCACGCATCAAGCAGGCCACACGCTGGACTTGATTTTTGAGATGGGCATTAATGTGGATCTGGAAGCCATTGTTGCAGTGCCATGGTCAGACCACTTTGTCCTGAAGGCCCATCTAAGCACCCCATCCTTTCCCTGTCTAGGTGGCGAGCTGATTTACGCTTGCCTGCAGAGACTAATGGATCTGATTGGTTTCCAAAATGCTCTGCGGCATCCAATGCTCCCTGGTGGTTCGTTAGATGAGCTGGTGGAGGGTTTGGCATTGATGAACATCCCCCCCTCCCCGGTGCCCTCTTCTGTGCTAAACCAGCTGCTTGGTATACCTCAGAGCTGCGGAAGAAATGGGAGCTAAGACGGCTAGAGCAAATGTGTGCTCATGACAAAGCTGCAAGAGCATCCTATAGGTCATTTATGAAAGCCTATGAGATGGCAACGAAAGCCGTGAAGAAGAAATTCTATGTGACTTCCATTGTGTCTGTTAGCTCTCACCCGGCTCAATTATTTAGAGTAATTAGACCACTAATTCCCCTTCCACAGGGAAATCAAAAGGATAAGGAATTGGCTATTAGCTGTGAGGCCTTTGCGAGCTCTTTTGCTGATAAAATTTTGTTGCTCCGCCAAGACTTGCCAGTACGTGAGTTGGAGGTCTTCAGGTTCAATATTGGACCAAATCAGTCGACTTTCTTGGGAGGAGGCTTCCAGATCCTGGCAGCTGTGAAACCCATCACTTGCCCCCTTGACCCCTGCCCGTCTTCACTGGTAAAAGCCGGCAGTGATGGGATTCGGGTTCCCCTGGGAAAAATGGTCAACCTATCCCTGACCTCAGGGGCCTTACCAGGGGCCTTAAAGGAGGCAATGGTGAGACTGCTTTTGAAAAAACCATCTCTAGACCCTATGGTCCCAGCTAACTACCGCCCAGTATCGAGTCTTCCATTCCTGGGCAAGGTAGTTGAGAGGGTGGTAGCAGAATAGCTCCAGGTTTTCCTGGATGATGCCTCTGGCTATGGGACAGAGACAGCACTGGTTGCCCTCATGGAAGACCTCCAGAGACATCTGGATTGAGGCAGGTCAGTGCTCCCGTTGCTGCTTGAATCAATGGCAATGTTTGACATGGCCGACTTCAGTCTTATGACCCCCACCACATTGCCGATGCGGGGATAGGGGGGACAGCCTTGCAATGGCTAGTGTCCTTTCTCCATGGCCAGGGACAGAGGGTGATGCTCAGGGAGAGGGTTTCCCTGCGTTACCCTTTGGTATGCGGCATCCTGCAGGGGGCAATCCTCTCCCCGAGGTTAACATTTATATGCGCCCCCTTGCCCAGTTAATTTGGGAGTTGGGCTGGGTTGTCATCAGTACCCAGCTGTATCTCTTGATGGACGGATAGACGGACTCTGCCCCAGATATTCTGGCCAGGGTGTTAGTGGCTGTGGCTGGCTGGTTACAAGAGTCAACTGAAATTAAATCAATTGAAGATGGAGGTCCTGTGCCTGCGTCGTGGTGGGGTGGCGTCAGAAATCGCCCTCATGGTGGGGCACCATTGACACTGACACCAATGGTGAGGAGCTTAGGAGTGATCCTGGATGCCTCATTGTCAAGAGAGGCCCAGGTCACGAATGTTGCCAGATAGGCCTTTTACCATCTCTGGCTGGTCAGGCAACTGGTTCCCTACCTCTCCCCCCGTTACCTGGCTATGGTGATCCATGCAATGGTCACCTTCAGGTTAGACTACTGTAACTTGCTCTATGCAGGGCTGCTTTTGAACCTGACCAGGAAATTGCAGCTGGTAGAAAATGCAGTGGCATGCCTGCTGACTGGGACGTCTATGTGGGCGCACATTTAGTCAGTGCTGCACCAGCTGCATTGGCTGCCAGTTGAGTACCAGATCAGGTTCAAGGTTATGCTATTAACGTTTAAGGCCCTACAATGTCAGGGACTGACATACCTGCAGGACCACCTCTCCCCATATGTCCCTCAGAGAGCATTACGCTGGTCAGAACATCTCCTGGCCATCCCTGGCCCTAAAGACATCCACTTAGCCTCGACCAGAGCCAGGGCCTTCTTGGCTCTTGCTTGGTGGAACATGCTGCCAAATGAGATCAGGGCCCTGCGGGATCGACTACAATTCTACAGGACCTGTAAAATGGGGCTATTCCACCAGGCCTTTGGTTAAGGCAGCGGTTGTCTGATTGCATCAGCCTCCCCTGCCCCAATCCACCTATGGGTTATACCATCTTTCCCACATACATTTATATTACACCCGAGGATGCTGGTGATTTTGTTAAATTTTAGCTCGCCATTGTTCGTTAATTCGGCTTTGGTTTTACTATGGAATATATGTCTTGTTTTTACCTGTT